TTGTGGCTTCGCTCATATGAGTTATAGTCATTCCGTTTCCATTTCCACACTGGTCAAAGATTCTTGCGGTTAAGGTGTCTAAAAGAAAGGGCAGGATGGAGAAATAGGGCAATTTCGATGGCATTCTTTATTTATATTTCAGAGGGTAACGTTTGAGCCCAGATCATATTGAAAGAGAATTTCATACAGTGGAATGGCATGCCTGTTTGTGACATATTCACCCTTTGTTTCGTTACTGCAATATGTCAAACCATTGGACTTGACTTCCCTTTGCTCTGGTATCTAGTAGATCAACAACATTTTAGCTTCGGATTTCTGGTTCAGTGTTGTCCAAACGGGGAAACCACAAGTTAGTTACATATCCATCCAACTCTTACCGTGTATGTATGTGGGTGTCGCTTAAATATTCATGTACGCCATCATCATCATCCCTTTGGCGTTGACTGTCTGGGATTCGTCTGCTTTTCGGTTGAAGCGTAAATGACCAAAAGGTCATTTGGCTATAATGTCTGCCCTGCCAAGAAAGCAAATTACAGCATGATTAATTATTAATTATTTTCGGGACTGTCTTGAACAGACCTGAGTGACTTTGCTGCCTTAGCCCAGTTAATTCATTTGGCTAGGATTGGGTTAGAACACATTACCTGAACTATGCTGAATGTAATCTTATCGAATTTTTCAATTTAACTTAACGTTACCAAGCCTATGATACTTACAAGCAAAAGTGACTTTTTGTTTTACGTTTGCATTTGTATATAATTTGTCCTTTGGCATTTGTATTGCATGCAGCTTCAGCTGATTTAAAATCTTAAAAACAGTTTAATTAAAATAATAAATATTTCAATGAGAGTCTGAAATCCATCCACTCAAATGAATTATTGCAAGTATTCCTCCATTTAAACTACATCAGATGCCTTGAATGTGTTGTCATTGAAGCTTCTGCCATCTTTGCCACATCTAAGCTGAAAACAAAGTACTTACTCCCACAAACGAGCCATTATCTCACACTTCATACTCACATAAATGGCAAGATTAGATGCCATTTCGTTTGCTTTGTGGCTAGCCAAGTTGTTAATGTGCATCATCATATTCTTGAAATGAAATTAGGTGGCAAGGATAATGGCCAAACAAAGACGCAATTAGGTTCATTGTCGCTCGGGTAGAAACATTTAACAACTCGAATTCTAAATATACTTGGTAAATAAATAAATGGAATGACAATAGTCCTTAAAGTGATGCAGAATCCTTTCTGCAATCGTTCTTTCTAGTAACCCAACCCTGTTTTTCTAAACCGTACTTAATTAAGTTTTAATTTTCATTCCACGTGAACTCAATTAACATTTTTTCAAAGTACCTTTATGTGGCACCCGTCATCTTGGGCATTTACCAAAACTAATTGCAGTCATGTTTAGGTTTTATATGGAAGCGCTTTAGAGCTAAATGCCTTTCCGCTTTTCTAATTAAGAGGAAGCCCGCCAACGAAAAACACATTCACCTACATAGCTTAGGAGTGTAGTGTTTGTATATTTTAGCAGGTGGGGTATACAGAAAAGCGAAATGAATTTAATTTAAATTCATATAACCTCGTATTTCCGAAAACAACAGCTAAATAAGCATATGCCAGACAATTCTGTTGGGGCAGGAGTCAAATCTAGACCGGGGAACTCAGTTGAGTAGCGGCGACACTACGAAATTTTTAATTACTCGTACTCAACTTTCAAAAACTGAACTGTGAGGGCTCGAGCAGGACGAGAGCTCATTTTGAAAATTTTCATAATTACTCGCCGCCCGACGACTTGTTAAGTCAAACAGAGAAAGGGAAAACCGGGTGAAAGGCGGGCAGAAGAGCCACGGAGAAAGTCAGTCGAGTTTCGTGGACGATTGCGGACGAGGTCCTGGTGGCAGGATAGCAATGGGTGCGGGTGCTTGGTACATGGGATGCTGATTCAGAGCACCACTCACATGAACGACGACCAGGACTAAACGAACTTGTACACAGGAGCCCCACTCCCACTCCCACACACATGCACACCCCTGCCTTCACTCAGAATGAATTGATGTGTGTATGTGTGTGGCTCCGCTTGAGCACCTGCACCCGATGTGGTGGTGGGTGGTGGGTGGCTGTGTGGGTGATGGGTTGCATGTATCCTACCCCACATAAAAGGGGGTTCCGGAGAGGCCGTGCACTTGAAACTAAAGGCTAAGTAGGCGCATTCACACAAACATTCCGGCACAAATGCAACTCGGTCTATCTACAGGACAGTTGTGTGGGTGAGTGGGAGGATGGTGAGTGGGTGCTTTGGCGTGGGTCGTGTTCCACACTCACAAGCAAAAGTTGAGTATCCGGCTCGATGGGTCCTCTTCAACCTGGCATTGGGCTGGTTATGTAATTAAATTTATTTAATTTGACTTATTATGCTCATACATGTACACACGCAGATATGCACGGCACAGTTGTTGCAAACTAATTACAATTTGGGAAAATAAACTAAGACGACTGATCTAAAGTAAGTCTTTGATTTGTTTTGAAAAAAAACATTTTTTTTAGTAAGTAAATAATATATCAGATATCAAGCAAAACTTTAACTACAATACTCATTATTCATTTACAGTCTTTTTAAAACTTTTCCCCAAAATTCAGGCAAAACAAAAATGTTAAGGAAAATACGGCCAGCATGCTACACCTAATTAACTTCTCTATGGTTTAAGCACTTAATTTTCAGTCCGTGTTTTTTTCATTTATATAGGTCCCAGAGCACTGAACTAGAGCACTTTTTTCCAGAGTGCATGCGCGTATGTATTTAGATTCTCATCTACTTAGCAATATCTCTTCGCTTTCCGTGTGAAAGAGTGTCCTCGCTTAAGCTCATAAGCCTGACAAACAGTTTCACACAGGGACAAAAAGGCAAGATGAGGGTTTAGTGAAATTAATGGAATGAAAGCCAAGCAAAAAGTGACCAGCAGCACATTAGAGCACGGTATACACAAACAAATTATTAAAATTGGTCTATCTCAGATCTCTCAATTATTACCTTAGCTTATACAAAAACTTGATGTGTTAATTTGCCTCGGCAGGCATTTTTCGACATTAATCTCTCTTTACGCAACCAATACCATGTAAATGAGGTAAAGCTAAAAGCATGCAAATTGTTTACATGGAAATTCCATTATGTTAGCCGAATTTCAGCGGGTGGGAAATGAGAAGATATATGCGGGCTAAACGAAAAGCCAAAACAATGGAATTTATTCGCCATGCTAATGGGTTACGAGTAAAACCAGACTGAAAGTAATGAAAACTTCCCGTAACATAATTAAACAGCCAGGAAATCACATAGCCAACTGCAGCTAAGAGGAATCACATTTAGTATCATTATAACCACCATCATCGCCTTCATTAGGGGTTTTTTCAAATCGAGTGCCTTCTGCAGAGCATGTTCTAACAACTAGACTTATATCCCAGCATATATACTGATAAACCAATTGCTTAGGCTTCTGCATGAGTAAAGTGAATGGGGCATGGAAAAGGAGGTGCAGACTGGTAAATGCAAATCTAAATCCTACACACCAAGGTTTGTGTTACGTACGATGAGGCAAACAAGCATTTACAATTTGCTTCGTTCTTACCGAACCGAAAGATACCCTGTTTAGATAAGCTGATCTGACTTAGCTTAGTCCAATATACCTTTTTAAAGTTCACACTGGAGGTTTATAAAAACAGAAAGCTGAGGCAGGAAACTCAGCAAGTCAGGAAGTCTGTCGACGTGAACGTCGTCATCGTCATCGTCATCATCAACCTCACCCCCCCATTAGACGTCCTTATAGTCCTTGCTACCCTTGCTGCTCCCCTTTTTGTTTTTCCTACAATGTTCCGGACTATTTTGGTTGAATGGTCAGAAAAGTTGCAGACAACACAAACACAGCCTGGCCAACAGAAGGAAGGAGCGAGAGGAACTATGGGCAGAAGAAGCTAGCTGGAAAGCTCATTGTTTTTTGGTTGAGGACAAAAAAGGAGCAGCTCAACACTGGCCCACGTGTGTGCTGTCCTGTTGTTAGGGGCAGGAATAGCAATAACGAGCAGAAAATTAGCAAGAAAATAAAATCGATATTTACTTGGAGTGCGTTTAGGTCGCTCATTAAAGATTTACCAGACGCATTTAAGGGAAAGCCAATACAAACGACACCTATTTGAGGTAGTTAATGATTTCGTCGATAAAGATGGAGAAAGCTTGCGTAAATGAAAGGTTACCTAAACATTTCTTTCAACAACACATAATGTTCCCATTTTCTTATCTATATTGTTTATCTTGCCAGCTAAAATAAACCAGAATACTTGGCCCTTAAGCTAGCTTTATTTATTTATACAGTCGGAGGCACAAATGTTTTTAGCTTCTTATGAGGAAGCATTCCGAATTGCCCTTTATTTATTTAAAAATTGCTTCTACATTGTTTTTCAATTCCAGCTCGGAATTTCCAAGTCATTTGGACCCTCGCAATTGCTCCCTTCCATTTCCATTAGCTTCCGTTGCGGAAGCGGAAATGCCACACAGTTGCGCAGTCAAACTTACTGAGAGTCTAACTAAAAATCAAAGGGTGAAAACTCCTACTCTGATGTTGGCGAGCTTCAAATTTGTACATATATGGAAAACAATAGTTGTTGGCGGGTTTATAAGCGCCAAAAAAAGGAATATTTTGCAAGGCCACGGAATTAATGATACCCTGGATTAAAATAATATAAAAGCAGCCATAGTAATTTTATTGAAGTATTAAGTTCACATATATTTTTTTTGGAAAAAAGAGCAGTATTTCAGAAATACTAAATAACTGCTGTTGATAAAAGTCTATAAAGGTGTATATAAATATACTACTAAAATTCTACTATAAACTAGTAATATAATATTTGGTTTCACATTTTAGGCTTAACTTAATTTGTTAAATAAGTACATTTCATAAATGTTTTATTTCAATAACCAGTAACACAAATCGTTTTTTTTTCTTTCCAGGTCTTGGCAATTTGTAAATTCAGATAAATTCGAATAAAGGAAGTGTGATATACGAAAGGAAAAAATATCAGTATACTATAAATATAAAAACGATATTATAAAAACTGCGAGAAAAAATATATCTATTTGTGAAACGGAACACATAGAAACAAGAGTGTAACATTATTCATCATGTTGGCCTTTCATAATGAACATATAGCCAGTAAGTATTACCAGTATTACCAGATTGAACTTTTTCATAAAACAATTTCATCTTCTCATCTAACCAATGGGCTAAAATTCGATAACATTATTGTAGCGCATCACCTAATCACTATTGCACATATCCATGAAGATTAAAATATTATTAGGTAACCGTAGGTAGCTTAATTCCATTAACCCTGTTATTAAACTTAGTTAGATACCCCAAAATCCATCCGCAAAATCAATTTGCATTTGCAAATTTGGCAAGAGAGCTGTAATTGCTACAATGCGCTCCCTGCGCCCAAGAATTGGGTGGTAAGGGACTTAACTACTTGTGAGCCTCAAACTAATCAATTATTAAGCGAGCTCCATTTAACATTTAAAGGTTGCCCACTTACCTCCGGCAGGCATAGACTGGGAAAAACCCATTAGGTATAACAATTTCCTGTGTGATGGAAATGGAAGGCAACGAAGAATAACAGCAACTCGAGGCTGCACTTAAGATGTTTCACCGAAGGAGCAGGACGGCTCCTTTGTGTTAGCCAAGTGGGGAGACAGTTAAAACGGCCTGTTACATCGGATCTGCTCTCAATAAACAATAAAAGCACAGCCACGGCTGGCGTTCAACATCTGAAGCCGGCGGCATTATATTTAGGTTTAAGCACATAATAACTTAATACCATAAAAAGGATCAGAAAGAACACAAGCCACGGTCTTCCTCTTCAAGACCTGGCATCAATTATTTACCTAGCCGCCTGTGCAGTACATATTTGAAAATTAAAGCTCTCCCTCGTTGGCTCCGTTTTTGGCGTACAAGTGGTGTATAATTCAGTGGCGGCTAATAAGCCTGCAATTTGCTTAACAACAGACACACGACTATTACAGCACTTGGTAAACTTTCCGCACGAGAAATATCCAAACTTTTTTGACCCTGCAAAGGAAACAATTTATTGCTCAAAGACACCAGATATTACCATTATACTGTTTTTTCGTATTCTTTTTGACCTTTAAAATAGCCAGAAAAAATCTGTAAAACCGAACCTTTGTGCAAAAGTTTGTTTAGAAATTGATTCTAAGTTTTTGCAATTATGTGTATAGATATTTTGCATTTACGGTATTACCATACAAATTTTTTGTATTCGTAAAAATTTATTTGTATTCGATTTCTGTTCCTTAGCATTGAGTTTTAATAAATGAGGTAGCCACATTTTTCCCATCTTGACTAATTGCATACCCATGTTAAACTATATTAATCATACGAAAGATTACGAAATAAAGTTAAAATATATTGTTGGTTTGTGCAGCGGTCTTCCTTGTTGCTCGAGCATGCCTCCAACATAAATTTAACCCCGCCAGAACCACCAATAAATGGTATGGGCCAACTAACGCTACCTTTACCGACTGCGGTCAGTGGGTTGGCAAAAATGATTCATTAGCATTCAGCTTGAAAGTTGATTTGCCGCAAAAGAGATACCAAACCGCAGTTTCCTCTTGAAAGTGAAAAGTTTTAAAAGCCTACAGCAACTTATAATATTGCTTTGGAGGCACATTACGAGCGCCCCATGAGCAACATTTTGCCAGGAAAGTGGTTAATGTGGGTTAATAAATTTAGGGAGTTGTGTGGCAACCGCGGAGTGGAGCAGTTTCAGATTTGTTTGCGAGTAACTATAGGCAGCCATAAGGTTCAATTAAAATTAATTAGTTTTAAGACATTTAATGAATGCAGACTCTGTAATTTGCTGACTTAATTATGCGACTAGGTTCGAAGCTTGACATTTATATATTGCTGCTGGTATTAAAATCTTAAAAATCCTCAACACGACTAAAATTATCTCAGACTTCAAAGGTACTAATATTCCTTAATAACTTATTTTATTTATTTAATTAAAAAATATAAAACATTTTGCAAGTTAGTTGAGACATTTTTTGAGCCTTACTATATCAATGCACACAACTGTACATGCATGTATGTATATAGGAGAGTGATTTTTAATTAATAAACTCATTAGGCACTGGTCTGGTCACCGTTTTTGCCGCCACACTATGTGAATTGCTCATTTTAATTACTGGCAGCTGTTAGCCCCCACAGCACTTTCTGCACTCCTATCCGCCATTCGTCCTTTGGGGGGACTGCACATAATTTCCTGGCATTTCAACAATGTGCCGACAATTTTTATGTTGTTAGACGGCGCTGACGTCGACAGTTGGCAGGTTGTTCGGTTGTTGCTCTTGCACTTGTCCCTTCGGTTGTTGGAGCTGGTCGCTTGTCGTTCAACTTTTGACGTGTTGCATGCTGTGGCCTTTTGAGTTGGCCAGACAAAAGGCCACGGGAAAGGACTGGGACTGGGGGGACAGGAATAAAGGACTACTCCTGGCCTAAACGTGCCCGCGTTTTGGGCTAAAGGTTAAATATAATTGTTGCTTTTGCACTGGTTACACGGGTATAAAAGGTAAGCCTTAAAAAAACAGAGAAAATTTAAAAAACTATGTATTATGCATTTTGTATCATTTCTAACTATTATGTATGCGACATTTTTGACACTTTTAACAACTGACTTTCGGGCAAAAAAGTCAAAGCTTAAAACCAAATTTCTCATTCTAAAAGACAAATGTAGTTTCTGTTGCCATAAGCAATACAATCGATCAATAGTAAAATTCCATATGATATTCCATACCTACCAAAAAGGTCCAGGTTCGATGCCTACTGCAACAGCATACATTTTTTTATCCTGAATGTAATGCATTTTTTTGAGTGTACCTGGAGCAGGAACAGACAGTCAATGAGGGAAGCAGGGTGCTCTGGGTATGACCACATGTCAGGGGCTGGCTTCGTGCTGGCGGCATATGTGTTGCTAAATCGGTTTAGGCTGACACGAGCCTGTCGCCGTGCCGGTGGAAAACAGGGCGGCAGTTGAGGAGTTAATGAGGAGCAGAGACAGGATCCCCCTGCCATTCTCTAAACAACACCTAGCGGGCCACCACAACCAAACAATAGGAAGGCAAAAAGCGGTGGGGAAAATTACACGGATTTATGAAAATGGCCACAAAACTGTGCTAAACACGTTGACGCTTTGCGCACGCAAACCGTCATGTGTGTGTGTGTATGTGTGCTGGTTAGCAGTCCTTACCAATCCTTTCGCCAGGACATTCCACAGGGCAGAGGGCTTTAATTGTGTAATAAAACGAACATGGATTTTGCGAAAGCAAATGGATTGAATTAATGTAAGAGATAGCTTAAAAATCATACCCATTGTGCCTGGACTAAACTCCGGACATTCCTCGCCTTACACCTGCCACCGCCGATTAATAATTTAATGATTGTCATTGCAGGTTGCGCTTTTCTGACTTATTTCAGTCCGGAGAGCTCCGCCACGCCCGCCACGTCGCCCACGTCAGGAGCACAGGCAACGCTCCACAATGACAAGCAGTCCATAGCAGGGGTAAGTGGCCAAGGACAATGTCCTCGATTTCATCAATTAAGTAGCTAGACATATAATTTTCTTGTAAATGCACCTTTGTTTGGATGTTGTTTTTATAATTTGTTGTGGTATCTGTCGCTACTTTTATACATATAAAATATTTGTGCAGGGAAACTACGGAATAAAGCTATGATTTAAAAATAAAAAATCGAACCTGCATGCAAAATCAAGAATTATGCAAATCCCCTTTGATTGCTTTCGATTTCGATGTTTGTGTAATTTGCTCCCGCGCCAAATTATTTCTGCAAAAACTCTGGCCAACCTTAAATGCGGTGGTCTGGGCCATTTTATGACAGGCAGGCAAAAGGACGCTTGAAAAGTGCAACCATAATGTTTGAAAATTGATTGCAATTTCCACTGTCAAAAATATAGATATATTCTGCTTTGTTTTTGATTTATGTTTGGTAATGTTTACCCCAATTGAGTTTTAGTTGAAAATGCCGAACATGTGTAACCATGTCAATGCAGTTAGGACACATGTTTCAGGTTGTTGATTATCGCCCCACCTGCTGGGAATCGTGTTTATGTGGCTGGAAAAGTAATTAAAATTTGTAAATTTATTTGAATGGAAGAAAAAATAGTAAAACTAATCTTTGTTTGTCTTCAAATTGGAGGGAACTTTTCCTGACCTCACAATATATCAATTATTGAGAGAAAAAACAACAAATCTTGATTGTGTCTCCGGCTCTGTTTGTTTCCCGGTCGAAAAACTCATAACTGAAATTTAATTTTGCTTAGAAGGACAAAAAGAGTCTTCAAAAGGAAATCAAACTAAACACAAGTCGGCAAGAAACAGTTTATTGAATATGCAAAATGTTGTGAACTGCAGCACAGTTGTGCAAACTGGAGGACATCCTCAGTCCCCCACTTTTTGAGATAGAAGAATAGATAGGCTGGTCCATTCAATCCCATCCTATCTGCTCCTTCAGCCTTTTGTTTTCATATTTTCTTTGTTTACTCTAACAAACACAGAGAGGGAAATTTGTGGCTGTTTTTGTGTGGAAATTTATTACATTTTCTTAGTCTAGGCCCGACCGGGCCTCTTCGGTCTCTTCGGTCTCTTTGGGCTCTTGGGGTGGAGTTTATCTTTCTTCTCCGGCTTCTTTCAGAACTTTTAGCCTTGTCTTTTCCATTCTTGTGCACTTGCCAATGTGCTACTGTGTGTGGCAAGAAGAAGTCGACTGTTGCTGCATGTGTGCCACTTATTAAAACTTGGGGGCGAGTCGAAGGAATTCCACCTTTGTTCTTCGCCTCTGCCTCTGCCTCTGTCACTGCCGCATTGTTTTGCCAGCTGGAGACGGAAGGAGGCAGCAACTCTTCCTGTTGCATAATCAAGAGTTGTTTCATTAAATCGAGTCAAGGCGAGCCCAGTTGAGTCGGGTTAGAGAGGTTCATTCCTTGGGCAAATCCTCTTCTGATCTTTTAATTAACGCATCGAGTGCTTTGATAAGTGAAGGATCCTTTAAGTCGAGCTCTGAAGCGCACTACAGCAAGTGCAACTTGCACACTGAAAGTGCAGTAATCATCCGGAGGACGATATAACTTCCGGTTTCCTCTTTGTGCCTCAGTTTGGCAGCCAGTTTTTTGCGCAAACGAAATACGGCCTTTTGCAAAGAGGAAACAGTTTAGCATAAAAATAAAAAGTCAAACTGTGGCCGTACAAGGCGGCGGTCATGAAAAAAGCCTGAAAACACCGCTCAACTTTTCATGGCAACTGGCAGTTTAGCTTTATCTGAATCTTATGCGCTGCTTTGTCGTATTCAAATTTCCCAAAACGACGCAAGAGAAGGCGGAGCCAGCCATTGGGTGGGAAAAGTCATAATTTTCTTTTTTCGAAAATGAAAAATATCTACTGCCAAGTAGATAGAGCAAGGAGCAAATACGGAAAGTGGGCAGAAACTTTGCACATATGCCAGGGAATGGCTGTCGCTGATAATTCAAAAGCCTTAGAAACGGAAGTTAAAGAAAAAGAATGTTAGGCTGAAAGGGTCAAGACTTCCGAAACGAGCTTAAACTAAGGGTTGATCGACTGAAAAATGCCCAAAGCTTATCTGAATTTTATTAAGCATATAGTAATTTATTGCTAAGTGTTGGTTGTGCCAATTTCTGGAACATTTTAATGTATAAATGCTTCAAGAAAATAAGTTTAATTGTGCAGTAATCCCTAAGTTAGTGACTGATTTAAATTTCCATTAGTCAAGGAAACAAGGAAGCCTATAATTAATTGAACCCTTCCTTACACGGTTGTTTAATACACCCTTATAGAAAGGGCAATGTTTTTTTCCTTCTGTCGGTACACCTACCTCAAAAGATAGTAGAAAAAGGGAATAAAAAAAAAAACTAGCCGAGTTAACCAGAAAAATTCCGAAATCAGGACGAAAAAGGATTTAACCACAACCTGCAATTAATCACGCTCGCCCCTGATGTAGCACAATTCATGAATGAATGGATTTTGTGGTTAGTTGTGGGTTTCCAGAACTAATGAATAGTAAATACCCTTACCCATGATTAAAAAGGCCTATGCACGTTTTTAGTCAGTTATTTTGGTATTACACGGCACAAAAATGTGTGCATTCTTTGGCATTTAATCTTTTTTTTTTTTGGCCAGTCATGCATATTGGTAATATCGGCTTGACTTTTATAGAAAGGGCATATCCGTCGTGATTAAAAAAATCCCTTTGATTTTATAGCACACCTTTCGGATGCCACTCCTCTTTCATTATTCACCCAAACTTTGTTTCGGCATAGAAAAAAGTAAAAACTTGTGTTGTTATTGCAGACGAGAGTGACCATAGCACACCATACCATACACCATATAGTACCTTGGCAGGCCTCTGCCAAACTGAACCAAACCAAACCGAACCGAACCGAACCGAACCGCAACTAACTGAGCTAAAAGCCAAGCTATTGCTATTGGGCCCGAAGCCGCTTTGGTGCTGGACGCTTCAGTTTGGCAATTTATCTGGCCCCATCTGCATTTGTTGACTTTGCGCCGGCGATTGGGCCGCAGTGTACACTATTGTCCCGCTTTGCATAAGAGCTAACGAACTAGATTTTTTCCGCATTCTTTCCTTGGTCTCTGGGATCCGTCTGGCCATGGAGCCATGCAGCCATGGAGCCATGGAATAGGAGCCCTGAGCTTGGCGTTCGCTTCATTGGCATATCAATCAACGGCCAAAAGCGGGAAACGAATTCACTTACTCACACCACTGGACGCGATGGATGGATGGGATGGCCTGGTCTATATAGGTGGACGATTGCGGGGGGTTGGAGGTGGTTGTTGGCATGTTGGGCCGCTCAGGATTTTTTCCGCCTCGGCCGGATGCCATTTTAATTAAGTGTTGGCGGATGCCAGTTTCCAGGAAAAACAAGGACAACGGCCACACTCTGCCACTCTCTGCCAATGGCCAGCAGAGAGTGTAAGCGGGAAAGTCAGATGGACCCGTGTCCTTTTGCTGGCCAAGAGGAATTTAAGATAAGAAAAAAATATATATTTTCGCCACATAGTATGTTGAGTTGGATAGGAGATTTCTGTCGGCTGTTTTGCTCTCCCTCTCTTGCGGCTGACAGTTTTATTATTATTTTTGCAAATCAGTTAATTAATTAAGATAGCCAGCTGAGCCAAGCAGTCTGTAACGAAAATTCAGCAGTGCGGAAGAATCAATCTTCAAGCATGGGATTTTCATTTGGCCAATACAGTTTTTCTTCAAGTTCACTGTATAAATATCTATATTTTTGTAGTGAAATACAAGTAGTTTTAAAAAATGAGGGAAAATTATGTTTTTAAACAAATTTATACTAATACCGCTTTGGAACTTTTTCGCTTACTGAGATAAAGAGTTTGATTAATGTCGAAAGAACCAGCCTCTGACTCCATTCTTCTGCGGCCATAAAAGCTGTCTGAGCCAAAGAAGGAACAATTTTCAACTTTATAAAGCCCATGAAATATTGCCGACACCGACTACAAAGAGAATATTTTATGCATGCGCATGTGTAAAAATATATTTTATTAGAAAACTGGTAGCTCCTCAACTCGAAAATGTTTCCGCACAAAGGAAGGAGTGGGAGCCCTTGAATATTTTTTGCATTTCAAAGCCGAATGCGCGACATTTTTATTGTAGAAAAGGAGCTTGACATATTCCAACAGCGTAATAAAAATGTCGATTTACATTGCTGCCGTATATCTGCCATTGCGTCTTTGCGTCTTTGTGGGTGTTATGCCACCTCGTCACTTTAGTGAAACCAAAATGAAACCGCAATTTTGATACATCTTTTCACGAGCAGTTTCGGTCCTTCCAAAAATAATGTTTTTTTTATTACTATTTTTGAGTATATTGTAGTACAATTTTGTAGGAATATATTTTGTAATAATTGTAGACTTCAGACATTTTGCAAAATGTGTCATTTACTCTTACTTTTACTTTCTTTTTACTTTTTAAATACATTTCCTTTCGATTTGAGCAACAGTAATATATGTTGTTACCCCTCTAGCATTTTTGCATGTTTTTTTCAAGCTCATAAAATGTGTATTTCTAACAAATTATACAATTTAATTAATAATAAGGTAAGGTAAGTAAAATAGTATCTTAAGTGTGTCGGAATGTTCCTTTTTTGAATGTATTTAAGTCTATAATCAAGTCCTGAAGATTGTGTGTGTTTTTTTCGGTTGCAAGGTGGGAATGGGGAAAAATATACATAAAATTGAATCACATAGAGTTGGGAATCGGAAATAAGTTATAACTTATAAGAATCGATGTTGTTATTGACTCCAATAAATTGATGTTGTTCTATAATTGATGTTGTTGTTGTTGATGTTGTTTCTACTACTCTACTGCTACTACTACATATTCATAAGCCTCTCTAAATACCGCAAGACCACTATCTGTTGTCATGATTTCCGTTTAACTCATACCTATAACCATACCATTTACCAATCGATGTTGTGCTCCCTGCTCATTGATGTTGTTGTTTTTTGACCGTAACTATGCATATGTTTTTATTATTTCCCGTGTGACAGCTTCCTCGGATATCTGTCAGCATTTCGTGTTGTGTTTTTTCTTGAATCTCTCATCAATTCTCTTGCAGGTTGCCTATCCATGTGGCGCCCTAAACGTGCGGCGCTTGCGCTGGCAGCAAAATCCACAATCCCTTGGATACCCTTACCCTCGTCTGCAGCTGCAACGCCACCAACAGCAACCACTACCAAATCAGCCATCCAGTTCCGGCCGCCTCAGTTTGAGCAGCCGCCACAGTTTGCGCGATTGCTGCAAGACCCAGGCAATTTGCTAACAGCAATTGCATTCCGCTGCCAGCGATGCAAGTGCCACTTCAGCAACAACATCATCAACAACATCATTAAGAAACCCAACATCAACATCAAGCAATCCAGGAACAATATCAAGCCCATCGGGTCAGCTTCTGCAATCGCACAAGCTGCACATGCAACTGCAGCAATTGCCGAGCCAAATTAGTCACAGAAAATTGGTAGGTGACTCACAGTCTAAGCCAGTCTAAAAAGTCTCTTGGGGACAATTTTTTATTTCAATTTTCCTGCAAAAATATGTATATGGGTCAGCTTATTTACAAAGGTCTTATGTTTAATTCTGAGACTATTATATTCTATGATATTCGTGTGCGAGGTTTGGCGAATGGTAAATAATTTGCCACTTAGCAAGGCAAATTAGAAATGGACATATGAGCGAGTGCGAGCAAACATTTTTGACATTTGCAAAATGATATATACAAGGCTTCTTATCCAAAATTCTCGATAATAATTCAGCAATTTTGGCTGGCATTTCCACTCCCATTTCTGGATCCAACATATTTGCTCTGCAAACATTTAATGCCTTAATACAACGTACCACAACTGACTGGGGCGTTTCATCTTCATCGTCGCCTCCCCGGTTTGTTTGAAGTGGGTGTTTAGGTGTGTGCTGTTCTCGTCATCATTTCCATCAGCCTGGATAGCTTTTCAAATTCCAAATTTATGCAAATTTTGTCTGAGCCGCGCGACGGGCGACGAGCACACGGCATTTTGCTCATGAATATTTGTGCCAGCCCAGGCCCGTAAAGCCGCCTACACATTCAGAGCGCCTCCCCCTTTCCGAAACGAGTATATACTCATGCGAAATTGCGCTTTTCTCCCATTCGGTGTTTCCCTCTATTTCTGGATGTGGATGTGGACCTGGATGTGGATGTGGATGTGAATGCACCGTTCCCACCGAAATGCTCATGTGCGGGAGGCATACGTCGTCCTTTTTGTATTGCCATCAATCATCAATCAATTTTTTCAGCAGATGTGCGATTCCCCGCCGCCATTGCTCCAGCATACTTATAGACCCGTCGCAGTCGAGCCAGAAATATTGGAGGGCGCGCGCTCACCTAGGCGTGCCTTGTGCCTTCAGTCTGGCCATGCCAATTTAGCAAACTGTTCGAAAATCCCAACCCTGCAGCCCCACATCGCAGGACCCTGCCATCGCAGGACTCCCAGGGCTGCACCAGCTTCAGACCCGGCGGACGCATAATTCCGGTTGCTCACCCGCGTTTAAATGTACATCACGTAAATTCCGAGCAAGATGTTGTTGCCAACAGGATGGGCTTCATCTGCCACCTACCAATCTCCATCGTGTATGTGGCCCAGCAGCACGGAGCTGCCCTTCAGCAGTGCTGGACATGACCAGCTCAATTCGGTTTAAGGACTTTAAGTTCGCTGGACACTCTTTGTTCTTGCCCACTTCATTACGAAGTTTTATAATATAAATGAGAACTGCTGGCTTATTAGCTGGTAAACTGCTAAACATATGTATTAGTTACCAAATATCGCCAGCTTTATAAGCGGACTATTAGGTAAAATCGTCACTTGTTAAAGCTACTTGGTAGCTAAGTGAAACATTTCTAGACAGAAGGCAGGAGTATTCTGGCTTATAAAATATTTAATCTTCGCCGTGAGCTCCTGTTTATCAGATGCATGTGAATTAAATATATCCATATCCGTTTACCAGCAGCTAGCGAACACGAAAAGTACCACATTAAAGCCCTGTAGAATTGATCGGTTCCTTAAAAACATTAGGTTCGAACAATTCCCACATCATCAACAATTGACAGCACTTGCGGCATATTTCTGGCATTCAAAGAACAGATCCAGAGGTGAACAAATGGCAAATATGCATAACGGCCCAAACCGAAAAGTATTTCTGCCTTTTCCCTACCCAATTTCGATATCCACTTGCCAAGACGAAAACAAAGCCCGTACCCAAAAAGTGGCGGAGAACTATATGTATGAGTATATACACACATCTATAAAAATGAGTAAGGTAGGATTTCTGGCACAAGGCCAAACTTGAGGCATCCACACGGTCTCAAACAACCAGACAAACACGTCACGAACTGGGGAATAAATACGGGCTGAGGAGCAAAGGAATTCCTAAGTATTTTGTATTGTTTTCAATTGTTTGTTGGCAGCCAAGCATTAATATCATATTGATGAGTATGTACACGGAATCCTTAACGCTACTTGGAGGATACAGGGTTAGACCTTTGGCGACCGCTGGGACACGGGGGTCCCTTCCCTGGGACATCGCCTAACCCTAGTTTTGTTTACGGCGTATCGATGTTTTCAATAAAATTCAATAGAGCCAAGAAATGCTACAGCACATACAGCTCTTCCTTCTTTTAAAGCCTATTGAAGCTCGATTTCTGTGTAATTTTATTGGATTTTTTTTCTGTGACAAATTTATTCAGCTACTACTTCGAAATATGTATTTGTGGCTAAAAATTTGAGGTGTAAATTTATGTATAATATATATACAGAAACAGTCATCACATATTTATTTGGTTTTAGTGGGTGTGAAACATTTCAAATTCGCTGTTTGTCATACAGACGGGGTATAAAAAATTCATTGGCCCATAACAGCAGCTATTTAAACACTAAATTTATCAAGAATATAAATAATCCAAACTTAAATTCTTGAAACTAAAACGAGGTGACAAAAGGTTATAAAAATGGTTGCTCTCTTGGTTCATAATTTGCCATATTCTACGAGGTAGGATTGATTAAATACTAACACTTATTCGTGGAAGGTGCGGCTGATCCTTATTGGTCGATAGTAGAACTTAACTGACTTATTATACGCCTGTACTATCTGCTCAAGCCCATTCCTTACCAGCTTTCAACACTTGTAAAGTTACGCAGGTAGGAAACTTGGGCACGGATTCATTTGCTAGCCGTAGTGAGCTCGTGTGATTTGTCGAGGAAGTCGGTGAGTTCCACGGACAACTAAAGCAGCGAAATGTTGGAGGTGGGGTGGGTGGGTTGGCTTCACACGAGTGAGTGCATTAGTTTGTTGTCCATGCTGTCTTAGGTCCCATTTCCCCCCTCGTTTTGTTGCCTTCATGTGCAACATGCAACAAACTACACGGCCAAGTTGCAGGCACTTCATTTGTGTGCGACCGTGTGCGTTTTCAACTTTTGTGTGACAGTCCTTTTTGCTTTTTGTTGGCTGCTTATCACGCATGCTAAACAAGCAGACTGGAGGACTCGGCGACGGGCAACGAAAATACAATTTGAATTTTGATAAAATGCAGTTGACTTTTTGCGGTGCTCTGTGGAGAGTCCTTGCATGCCAAGGACATGCCGCCCACCAGCAGCCATCTGTGCGCATTCCCTCTCTGGGCGACACTCATTGATATTTTGGGCAAGCGTAGCGTAAATTCAATTTAATTCTGTGTAAATTGGCTGCAAATGCAATTTACAAGTCCAAAGATGCAGCTGCCTGGATTGCGTGTGCTGGAGTTTTTTCTTCCTTCCTTTTGGAAGCTGTCCAGGATGACGAGAACTTAAATTTTAATTCTATTTTCGCTAGTTTTTCTAGAGCCAACAAGTTTTTGGGAATACCATAACAGGGCTCCTGCTTGGATAAATATTTAAGCTGCTCGCCGATGTACGACTTTTATGTTGTTTTAAAAACAGACCTGAGCTGGTTATCCGAAAGCAGTTCCTTTTTGCTGGACATTCATCTTGGTTTTTATCTTTTGATACTTAGTTATTCAGTGATTCCCTCAAGCACCAACTTTTTGGTCTCCGCCCTGGCCAATATAATCGATCACTGGGGCTTAATAAAATGCTACGAAGGTCTTTCGCAACGACCCGTAATACCTCCAGTGAACTTCCAGGAACTCCTCAAGCTCCCATTAAAACTTTGGCTTAGGTACGAGTTAACGCGTTAAGCTGCAACAAGAAGTTAGAGGACTTGGAATAGCTTTCAGGTTTCAGGTTTGCGGGGTCATAAAGCAGCGAGGAGTATTTGCAGTGCCGCTCTGGAAATAGTGTTGCATATTGCCCTCTGTGATTTATGCCAGTCATTCTCAGACGACCAACCCACTCATACACTCCCTCAACACTCCCTCCTCCACTCCGGAGGAGTCCTTCCTGGACTGAGTTATAAATGCCAACGCAGAGCATAGTCTAACTTAACGAAAGCTGAAGTCGTCCCGCCTCCAAAGCGAAGGCGGAAGTTGGCCAGGCAAAAAGGAAAAATGTTGATTAAATATGCAAACACGCAGACAGTTTAGTTAAAATGAAAAAACTAAACGCAAAGGTAAAGCAAACTTAAAAGCTCTATAATTAAAATACAGCCATGAAATCGACGCTTTTAACCAATTTGTTTAGTTGCTCACGAAAGGCATTAACAAACTTGCATCAATATGCTAATTCAACTGTACCGGAAAGAATTTTCTAAATGTTTTTTCTAAAATGAAAAAATGCTATATTCTTACATAAAATCCGAGAGCAAAATACCATTGGTTACTTTCCATACCGAAAACCCAAACATGTTTATAGACATTTTAAAGCCATATTTCAATGTTTCTTTAAGAGTGATTGACCTTCCAGGTCTACTTCAAGTATTCCTTATGTATCCCCAATCAATATGATATTTATGTTCGGGTGCCAACAAACAATTGAAATCAATACAAAACACTTGGAAATTCTGTTGCTTCTCTTGTCCATTCAGAAATATTTTATGTCCTGCCTGCGGAGATTCCACTTGTGTCTGTTTTTACTTGGCTGTGTTTTCTGGGCATGTCCTTGCTCAAGAACTTCAAGTTTTTTGTGAATGGTTTTGTTATCGCCTTTTCGGTTTTTTTTTATGTACAAGTGGAGGCCGATGTGGCGTAGGCATTGTTTTTGTGATCGAGTGTAATACATTATTGTCATTTCTTACTTCTGTGCTTTGTCTGCCACAAATAGGCCTCATGTGCTGTCAAGGGTCTTATGATGTGGGAATGGGCATGAAATGCGAAAG